AAGAATGTGATAGTAAAGTATTCTGGTCTGGTTCTATCAAGAAATTGAAGCCAGAGCAAGAGGAATATTTGGCATATGTACTTGCTGGCAATTACTGTGGCGCTACTCTCCACGGGCTCCGTTAGTGGCAAAGGAGATGGCTAGGCTAAGTGCTAATTGCTAACGACTCACTCGGGCTCATTACTTACGTCACGGTAAACTCAGATCCAATCGTTTCAATCTGCAAAAGGAGTTAACCCCTCCCACCTGTTAACTAGGGGTGTGACGATATATTGATTTTTCGATATATTGCGATTCAATTATTAATATGCATTTGCCAATTATCGATTTTTTAAATTTTATTTAACTTCATATATGGCTACATTACACATCTCCATTCCATTTATCATGAAAGTGTATTCTTTCTTTTATTTATGCCATAAATTGGCATATTGTATATTTCTGATAATCGTCATATCGTGATAAAATAGTTGTCGTGATAATATCGTTATTGTGAGCTTTGTATCGTGTATCGTATCGTATCGTGAGGTACCCTTAGGTTCCCACCCCAACTGTTAACGAAGCTCAATGGAGCAAAGCCAGACCTTAGTAGAAAATGTAATTTGTACTATGGTGTGGTACGACCTGGCTAGGTCCGTCCTCCATCTTGTATATTTTGTTTTAACATTGGTCTTGGTCGCATGGCGCCGTAAAGATGGCGCCATGGCAAGAGCTCTGGTATGTGTCGTCTGGTGCACACTGGGGTAGTCTTGCACAGTTTTTCCTATGTGGTTTTACTGCAAATGGCAAATAAATGAATCTGAATCTGGTCACACCACTTTTGTCCTCAGAACTTTTGTGTGTGTGTGTGCGTGTGCGTGCGTGCGGAGCGTGTTGATGTGATGAATCAGCAGGGTCAGCCAAGAAAATAGACGATAGAACAGTCTGCTTCTTATCGGTAATGGGAATGACGGCGTTACTTTTGTCAGTAACGAGTAATCTTTTGGGAGAAATAACTGGTAACTATAAGTAATTACTTTTTCAAAGTAAAATGTCCAACACTGCTTCTTATAGAGCACAAAGTGGTATGAAAACAGCCATATACAGCTGCATGACTTGGGAAAAAGTTCGCAATTTCAGCCGCAAAACATCTCTCTGTGGAGTGCGGCTTGGCAGACACTCTCCTAAAGGCAGCTCCCAAAGAGGACACGACTGCATTTGAAGTGGCTGTTGTCTGTTGTCACCATAGACTGTATATATTAACGGACAGAGTCACGCCTATCTCCGCCATTCTAACTAATGGGCCAAAAAATGTGCTCTACCGGAGCTATCCAAAATGGCCGTGAGTAGTCCCGCCCACAAGAAAATTGTGAAAAAACACATCTGCGCATGCGTCAGCCGGCGAGAGCTCCATTCATTTGAACGAGAGACTTCAAAAATTCACAGCAAGTAAACTAGAGTGGTCCAAAAAATTCACCCCCCTCAGCATTGACACACATGTGGAACGGAGCTTTGGGCCAAGAGCCAACTTTTGGACCATCCTGTAAAGGTGTTTTTGAGAGGTCTGCCAATGCTACAATACAATACAATACAATTTATTCTTGTATAGCCCTAGGTCACAACAGAAGTCATCTCAGAGGACTTAACAAAACCATTGATATCACCAACACAGGTCAGAGAATCAACAGTTAAAACACATGAAAAATATAAAGCACACACAAAAGAAAATGTCCATACATGTTGTAGAATGCTAAAGTGTCCTGATCATCACCAATCCTTTCTGTTGGACACTAACTGTCCAACAAGACCCTCCTGCATCGACAAGGAACAACTCTTAAAAAATCCAGTGGGGAAAAAGTGAGAAACCTTGGGGAGAACTAGGGAAACCCACAGGGAGGGAGACCCATTTGAGAAAGGGATCCGCTCCTCCGGACGGACAGGCTAATGATCTAGGACCTAAGCTAGCTACAGAACGTGGACCGGTGGCCGCTGAACGTGCTATATGCTAGCATTGGCTAATTCTTCTTCCGGGTCCACCCCCATCGGCCCGGGGTGGTATTGCAAGCATGTCAGCGCACGTCATTTTGGCCACTTTTGAACCGGGACCCGCCCCCACTGGTTGTGACTCAATAAAAAATATGCAGAAGCAATATTATGTCATCTGTACATTTTTAAACATGATTCAAGTTTACAAATGTGTGGTTATGTTACTGAATGTACAGTAACATACAACAAGTCTATCTTCTTTACCTTTAGAACAAACCTACAACTGTTTTGATAAAGAACTGGCAGACCCAACGATGCAGAACAAAATTGTTAATTACAACAATGAACTTTGGTGTAGTACAGGGAAGCAGGAAGGGAGCAGGGCAGGACAACGTAGGGCTGGGCGATGTGGCTGAAAACTACAATGCCTTGCAAAAGTATTCGCCTTTTGGCATTTTGTGTGCTTTGTTGCCTCACAACCTGGAATTAACATGGATTGTTTGAAGATTTGCATCAGTTAATTTAAAGAACATGCCCACAACTTTGAAGATGTTATCTTTTTTTTATTGTGAAGCAAATAACAAATAAGACAAAATAACAGAAAAGGTCAATGTGCATAACTATTCACCCCCCTAAAGTCAATACTTTGTAGAGCCACCTTTTGCGGCAATCACAGTTCCAAGTCGCTTTGGATAAGTCTCTATGAGCTTGCCACATCTTACCACTGGGATGTTTGCCCATTCCTTCTGGCAAAACTGCTCCAGCTCCTTCAAGTTGGATGGTTTGCGCTTGTGAACAGCAATCTTTAAGTCTGACCACAGATTTTCTATTGGATTGAGGTCTGGGCTTTGACTAGGCCATTCCAACACATTTACATGTTTCCCCTTAAATCACAGAAGTGTTGCTTTAGCAGTGTGTTTGGGGTCATTTTCCTGCTGGAAGGTGAACCTCAGTCCTAGCCTCAAATCACGCACAGTGGTACCGGTTTTGCTCAAGAATATCCCTGTATTTAGCACCATCCATCTTTCCCTCAACTCTGACCAGTTTCCCAGTCCCGGCTAGTGAAAAACATCCCCACAGCATGATGCTGCCACCACCATGTTTTACTCTGGGGATGGTGTTCTTTGGGTGATGTGATGTGTTGGGTTTGCGCCAGACATAGCGTTTTCCTTGATGGTCAAAAAGTTCAAGTTTTCTCATCAGACCAGAGCACCTTCCTCCATATACTTTGGGAGTCTCCCACATGCCTTTTCGCAAACTCAAAACGTGTCATTTAGTTTTTTTGCTGTAAGTAATGGCTTTCTTCTGGCCACTCTGCCATAAAGCCCAACTCTATGGAGCATACGGATTGTTGTCCTATGTACAGATACTCCAGTCAGGCCCGTCGCAAGGGGGGTGCGAGGCCCTGCCCTGACACCTTTTTCCCGGATCTCAGGAACGTTTTTTCCTGTTATAATCTTTGACATGAATTCAAGAGATCAGCATGTGCGCAGCCGTGTGTCCTCGCTCCAATGCAGCGTCGGGCTCACGCACGCACGCACGGCTCACGCATGGTTGCGGTCTTTTTAGCTGACATGGCGCTTTCGACCTGTGGCAAAATGGCAGCAACTCAAAAGATTGAGCCAAAAGGAGTCTTCTTCTTCTAATAGTTAGATTACGGCAAAATGGCTTTGAGGCGGAGTCAATATCCGTTGTATTTTTTTTCCTCATCAAATAACGTTTTTGCCATGCCTCCACACATTCTGACAACATACGCTCTTCTCCATGTCCTCCTCCACACACTCTGACCACAACAAGGGGTTTTATGCCCAAAATCCACTGCACTCACAGTGGGCGCTAAAGCTGAGCATACAGTGTTTGCTAATGCTTTTATAATGTTTCTGATGTGGATATTCGGACTCAACATTGACAATAACAGCGCTCACACACCTGTCTCGCTGCTCCTCCTCTGCTCACACACCTCTGTCTCCTCCTCCTCACCATTGATCTATAATAATGCATGCTCCTCACACAGAAGACGCAAGTATCCATCTCTCGTACACTGCGCTCATTCCCGTTACTTTCTTTGTATCTCACTCAGAGAGTTCCATGAAGTTTTTTTCGGAGGACCCGCTGCGCACATAGCTGCCCTCGCGTCTGCCTGTTTACAAATTGCTTTTGGTGAAAATTTGACTTTACTTGTATAATAATGTACTTTTGATCAAAATAAATCAGAGAAAGGGGTTTAGGGTTCGGAACATGGAGCGCAGTCCGCCCTTTGGGGACCCTTGAACTAGTGTATTTATTAATGAAAAAGAAAAAGGAAGGAAGATTGCGACGGCACAGGTCGCACAGCCCCTCCGACGGGCCTGACTCCAGTCTCTGCTGTGGAACTCTGCAGCTTGCCCGGTCCTTGAGTTTTGGTGGGCGGCCGTCTCTTGGCAGGTTTGCTGTTGTGCCATGTTCTTTCCATTTAGCTATGATAGATTTGACGGTGCTCCTTGGGATCATCAAATATTTTGATATTTTTTTATAACTTAACCCTGACTTGTACTTCTCAACAGCACTGTCCCTTACTTGTTTGGAGAGTTCCTTGGTCTTCATGGCAGTGTTTGGTTTGTAGTGCCTCTTGCTTTGGTGATGCAGCCTCTGAGGCCTTTCAAAAAACATGTGTATATGTACTGACTGATCATGTGACACTTAGATTGCACACAAGTGGACATCATTTCACTAATTATGGGACTGCTGAAGTGTTGCACCAGAGCTTTTTATGGGCTTCATAAGAAAGGGCATGCCAATTTCCAGTTTTTTATGTATATATTTTTCTCAAATCACTTCACCAACTTAAGACTATTGTTTTCTGATCCATCACATGAAATTCAGATTAAAAAAAACATTTAACTGTGAGTCCTTTCCGGTGAGCTGCGCCATGTGAAGACGTGTGCTGAGCTCTGCGTGTGGACCATTCTCTTTTTAACAACTTCGCTTCGATATTTACAGAAAAGCGCTGCTTGGTTTTTCAAAGAAACTTGCCATAGCCTTTATTGTTGCTAAAAATGCCAAAGGGAGGTAATAACAAGGCGAAACAACTGGATGCGGGAGCTGAGTCCCGAGTGGAAGCTAATGCTAGTACTGGCTCGACTGGGGACACAGCGCAAAACAGTTCTGCTAATGGCCAACAGGTCCTTGATGCAATTTCACCGCTTAAGCAAGAGTTGTTCAACAAAATAGACAAAAAAGCAAATCAAACGCAAGAGGAATTGCGCAGTGCCGTAGGCACTATAAATAAGAGGCTAGACGACAATGAGACCCGCACAACTGATCTGGAGGTGGGCGTCTCTACCAACGCGGACGCTATAGCGGCTTTGGAGTCTGAAGTGCTGAATATGAAGAAAGACCTTATCACTCTGAAGGCCCGATGTGAGGATTTAGAGGCACGATCACGTAGATGCAACATTCGTGTCACCGGAGTGAAAGAAGGGCGAGAGCACGGCAAACATCCCTCCCAATTTGTGGCGACATTGCTGAAAGATGCACTTGGTCTGGATAAGTCGCCGTGTTTGGATAGAGCGCACAGGTCTCTCCGCGCAATGCCAACTCAGGAGGACCAGCCACCAAGAGCATTCACCGTGAAATGTCACTACTACACTGAAAAAGAAATGCTTCTGAAGAGGGCAGCGGAATCCAGGTTTGGGTTGATAACCACCGCTGACGGGGATCGCATTCGTCTCCTTCCTGACTTCACTCAAGCCGTGAGTAAACAGCGCGCGGCGTTCACGGAGGTTTGGAATCTGCTTCGAGGCTGCGTGGGTGTACGCTATGGGCTCAGGTACCCGGCTACACCGAGGATTACCACCGCGGATGGTCATGAGAGCACGTTCAAAGACCCCAGGTCAGCAAAAGACTTTGTTCTGAGGGAAATAAAGAGTGCGTGATTATACTGGAAACTGCATATTTTCGCTCAGCAGTAAACTGGAGACTAATTTAGGCCTTCGCTGTTCCAGTACAAGTTCTACACAATGTTAACACGGACATATAAGAGTTAGAACCTTACTACAAATTGGCCCAGTTGTGAAGCCTTTGAATGCCTCTTTGGTTATATGTTCAAGAGCTGGTATTTTACAATGCAAGCATATATTTGTGATAACTAAAGTTTATATTTTACAAATGTACAATAATAGTAATTTGAATAATCTCAACAATACAGGTCCTCATGTGAGCTCAACATCACATGGTAAGCATTATAATGGTGAGGGATGTGGAGTTTGGAAATCATATGTATGACGGTCTTTTAGGACTGGTCATGTTTCGTTTTTGTTTTTGTACTGTTATTTTGGGGTGTTGTTTTCCCCCACAATGTTTTAATGGAGAGCAATGTTGTATTAGTTTACTTTTCATCGTATTGATTCATTCATTGCCACTTATATATTTTCGTAAACTGAACTTTATCCTATTCCTAATTACTAAAGTTTATTATGACATCTACCACTAGGGCTTCATACCCAACCGCATTTGTTTGTTGGAATGTTCGCGGGCTTAACCACCCTATTAAACGTAACAGAATATTCTCCCATTTGAGTAAACTGCAAGGTCGCATTATTTATCTGCAAGAGACACATTTACTCAACAAGGACTGTAATAACCTTCAAAGGGGGGGGTTTACACAATGCTTTAATTCAGAATTTAACAGTAAGAGCAGAGGAGTGGCTATCTTAATACACAGAGATGTGCAATATGTGGAGACTAGGACTTTGAAGGATAAAAATGGCAGATATGTCATTACACAAGGCAAACTATTTAACAGGCCTGTCATTCTTGTTAATGTATATGCCCCTAATTGGGATAATGCAGAGTTCTTTAAAAAACTTTTTGCTCTCTTGCCGGATCCTGACTCTCATAATATCATTTTAGCTGGGGACCTGAACTGTACGTTAAACTTGGACCTGGATCGTTCTAGCTCAAAAGCCACAACACTAAGTAAATCTGCCCGATGTGTCAATGGGTTCCTTGAGGCTTATGGGGTAGTGGACCCATGGAGGTTCAAGTACCCAACATCTAAGAAATTTTCATTCTTCTCCCCTGTCCATCAAAGCTACTCAAGAATTGACTATTTTCTGATTGATAAAAAAATGCTACCAATGGTTTCTTATATAGAATATGACGGAAAATGTGTCTGCAACTTTTTCATGGAGGCTTAATTCCAGATTATTATCTGACCAAAAGTTTAACGAATTTATTAGTACACAGATAGATTTTTTCATGGAAATGAATGAATCTAATGAGGTAAGCTATTCTACAATCCGGGACACCTTAAAAGCATATATCAGAGGACAGGTGATTTCGTATTTAGCAAGGGAGAATCAAAAACGGTCAAAACAAACTTCAGAACTGATGAGAAAAATTAAGCAAATTGATGACCTGCATTCAACAACACCCTCTGACAATTTATATAAAGAGAGAATTTTTCTTCAAACTGAGTTGGACATAGCCACCAATGTCAAAGCTGTGGATCTTCATCTGAGATCTCGTCTTGAACATTATGAACATGGCGAACGTGCAGGCAAACTGCTGTCACATCAATTAAAACAGTCAACAATAGCAGGTTCCATAACAACTATCATTGATGAGGGTGGCCATGTGCTAACGGACCAAAAAGACATAAACAGTGCGTTCAAGCTATTCTACGAGAAATTATACACCTCTGAAGCTGGTAATGCGACTCAAGTCGAAAGCTTTTTCAGTAATCTGACAATGCCTAGCCTGGTGGACTCCGACAAAAACCTGTTGGAGACAGATTTCACCCTCTCTGAAATAGGTAATGCCATCAGCAAAATGACATCTGGAAAGGCGCCTGGCCCAGACGGGTATTCAATTGAATTTTTTAAAACATTTGCCCCTAAATTGGCCCCTTTGTTGCTAAAAGTCTTTAAAGAGTTTTTAGAGAAAAAATTTCTCCCTGCTACTATGACCAAGGCCACCATTTCATTATTATTGAAAAAATCTAAGGATCCATCCCTCTGTGAATCATATCGTCCCATTGGCCCTCTTAACTGTGACTATAAGATTTTGGCAAAAGTGTTGGCAGGACGACTGGAGACTATTCTCCCCAAATTAATACACCCTGACCAGACAGGATTTGTTATGGGGAGACTAATATCTAGTAACCTTCGTCGAGTGTTTAATGTGGTTTACCAACGGAATGATATAGAGCCAGAAGTAATAATTTCTCTTGATGCGCAAAAAGCGTTTGATAGAGTTGAATATAACTTTCTATTCTCTACGCTGGAAAGAATGGGTTTTGGCCCCAAGTTTTCCTCGTGGATCAATATTTTGTATGCAGCCCCCCAAGCATGCATAAGAACAAATAAGACGGTGTCAGCTTTTTTCCCTCTAAATCGCGGTTGCAGGCAGGGGTGCCCGCTGAGCACAATCTTGTTTGATATTGCTATTGAACCTTTGGCAATCATCAGAATCAGAATCAGAATCATTTTTATTGGCACGTAAGTAACAGGAGGTCACAGACTAGGAAATTGCTTTGGCTCAGTGCAACAGTCAAAAAGAGATAATAAAAATAAGAATAAAAAACACTTCTAAAGAATAAATTTAAATTTAAAATAGAGTTACAGTTACTATTTACAATATACAAGTGCACATGGTGCACACAATGTAAGATGTAAGATTCCCTCATGCTGAGGGAATCCGCACAATTAACTGGCATAAAGAGAGGAGGGCACTGTCATAAATTGTCTCTATATGCGGATGACCTCCTCCTCTTCCTCTCAAATCCACAAACAACTATTCCCATTGCTCTTAACCTTATAAACCGGTTTGGGCAAGTATCTGGGTACAAATTAAATCTATCTAAAAGCATTCTTTTCCCAATAAATAATAAAGGTAAGCAATTAAACTTACAAGGTTTACCCTTCACAGTCAATATGGATCATTTAAATTACTTGGGTGTATGTGTGACCTTTAATTATGATCTACTGTTTCAATACAATTTTCAAAAAGCACTTGATAAAGCCAAGATATGGGTAGGTGGTCAAAATTACCTCTGTCCCTTGTGGGGAGAGTTAACTCAGTGAAAATGATACCAATGCCAAGGCTTTTGTACTTATTTCAAACTGTGCCAGTCTTCATCCCTAAAGCGTTCTTCAAAGAACTGAATAGTCAAATGTCCATGTTCATTTGGAATAAGAACATCCCTCGAATAAGAAAGGAATTTTTAGAACGACGGAAAGAGGATGGAGGGCTATCCTTACCTAATTTTCTTTATTACTATTGGGCAACAAACTTGCATAAGTTGCTTTACTGGGCTCCTGACATATCGAAATCAGAGTCTCCATCTTGGGTCCACCTTGAACAGGCTGGTAACTCTGTTTCACTGTGGTCTCTTCTATGCAGTCCACTCCCTCTGAGTAGAAGCCAGTTAACAAATAATGTGGTAGTGCGCGGTGCCTTAAAAATATGGTCTCAATTTAGGACTCACTTCAAATTCAAGCATCCTCTAACTGCAGCTCCTGTCCAGGGCAATGTCAATTTTGCACCATCTCTGATTGACACATCTTTTCGGCTCTGGGCCAGGAAGGGATTACAATTCATTAAGGATCTTTTTAAACATGGCAGATTCATATCTTTTGACCAATTGAAGAATGATTTTGACATTCCCCAATCACACTTTTTCAGATACTTGCAAATGCGCAATTATGTGAGAACTGGCTTCTCTTTAACTCTGCCTCCAGAAACTTGGTTGGATGAGTGTTTGGACTTAAATCCGTCTGACAAAGGCTAAAGCCTAGAGAGTCTACTTGCGCGGCGTGGCTTACGTTAGCGGTTGCGGTGGACCTACGTAAGCACAATTGATGTTATGGAGCTTTCGCGAAAGTTCACTGTGGTAGACCCGGCTGCTGCTGCCCAGGCCACAGGCTGATCTTCCTCGACTCATCAATACCAGCAACGCCCACATCCAGTCAACCAATAACCACCAGGACAGCAAGTTAAAAGCCGGAGACGCCAACTTCCCGGCCTTCTGAAGTCTGCAAGCCTCCGCCGCCCCACCTCCTCCTTCTCTCATCGAAGCGTGCTTGCCTACTGCCTCTGCCGTCACCAGTGCCTAGGCCCCGGGGGGGATTATGCACGCGAGCAAGCGCCGTGCTCAACAGCATCCCTCCCGGGCCTAGGGCGTCTTCTGGCATATGCGGTGGTGAGTTGCTGATCTGCGGACGGATTATTCCCTGTGCACTGGACTGCAGGCGTCAGTTTTCGCCCCGTACTTGGTCTGCAGGCTCCGTTTTCACATGTATTCGAGCTAACTGAGGGACAATGCATATTAAATGGCAATAATCTCTATTGTCCGAGGGATATAAGAGGAGCAATGTGCATTAATTCAGATTCATGTTCTGCCGCTTGCAGTAAAACCACGTTGGAAAAATTGCAAGACTACCCCAGCGTGCCCCAGACGGCACACTCCAGAGCTCTTGCCACGGCGCCATCTTACAGCATTAATCTTATTACTCGCAGGTCACTACTGTTAAATGAAATGTATTTAAATTAGTTTATCTGAGGGATAAAGGAGGGGCCATGCATTTACATAGCTGGGTCGCTGGTATTAAATGATCAGGTAACTAAACTGCAATTGTTGCATTTTGAAAGTGCAGCAGAAAGAAAAAGGGCCCAATGTGAATCTGCAATGAGTGTGAAGTGGAGTTGGAGCTAATGAACGTGTGGAAAAGTGATCGTTCATGCGTATCTGCCATAACCAAAGCAGCAAGATGGCTCCAGGAGACATCTGTTATTCGCATGGGAATGTTTCGGATTCAGGTTAATTTATTTCCTGAGGCTCTTAAACAACCATGGGCACGATTCTCTGACCGCCGCTGCTGCCAGTCCCTGCTGCTCCTACTGATGCCTGCTCCTACTGATGCTTGCTCCCCGT